TTGCCTTTCATAATTTTTTAAAGCTACCTAATTCTGTTCTCCATGACCCATTAATTAGTAAAAACAGCTATCTGTGGCTCTAGGTGGTTAGCATTAACTCTTAAAAAAAAAAAAAAGGCCCCCCCAGGGGCACCTGGGTGGCTCAGTCCGTTAAGTGTCTGCCTTCAGCTCAGGTCATGATCCCAGAGTCCTGGAATCAAGCCCCACATCAGGTTCCCTGCTTAGCGGAGAGTCTGCTTCTCCCTCTCCCTCTGCTGCTCCTCCTGCTTGTACACACTCTCTCTCTCTGTCAAATAAATAAAATCTTAAAAAAAAAAAAAAAAGCCCAAGTGAAGAGAACTAACGTTTGTATGCCTCCTATGTGTTAGGTACTCATGTATATTATTTCACATTCTCACTGTCTCACTCATACAACCTAGGTGCCCAGAGACCCTGCATTCATTCCTGCTCGTCCATATGAAGTGTCTTGTGATGACTCAAAGTTAATTCTTCCCCTTGTGCACTCAGGGACACCTCTCCAGATACTGCCTTCCTCTCCTATATCATGAATCATTCCATCATCATTCCCAAACTTTTTTTGCCTCACATTCCTCAACACCCCTTATTCAGCAAAAACTCCTTAAAAGAGTTTATTCCATAGTCACTGTCCTTTTCCTCTCTTCTTTCTCTCCTGAACTCATGCAAGGCATTCTTTCATCCCCATCACTCCACTAAAATAATAGTGTCACCAATGAATTTCATGTTACTAAATCCGTGGTCATCTCCTACTCTTCATCTTTCTCAACGGATCAGCAGCATTTGACACAGTTGACCACAGCTCCTTGGAATATTTTCAGAACACTGCTCTTCTCCCTATTTCACTGGTCATACATTCTGTTGCCCTTGCTGGTTCTTGGTTCTTTCCTATCCCTAACTAAATGTTGGAGTGTCCCAGGGTTCAGTCCTCAGGTCTCTTCACTTACACTAACTTCTTTGATGATGTCAGTTTAAGGCTTTCAATACTATCTCCGTATTACTGACTCCCAAATTTCTATCTCCAGCCTAATCTCTCCCCAAATTTCAGGCACATATCTACAACTACCAACTTAATATCTCTTATTTGGATATCTAATAGACATCTCAAACTTAACACATCCTGAACCAAACTCCTGGTTCACCCTACCCACCCAAACTGCTCCTCCTGCAGTGTTTTTCATGTGAGCAAATGTCAATGAAACACTCCCAGCAGCTTAAGCCAAAAACTTTGCAGTCATCCTTGACTCTTCTTTCTTTATATTTAAACCTTGAGCGAGACCTGTAGGCTCGATCTTTCAAGTACATACAGAATCCATATTTAAGTATTTTAAAAAACTATTTAAAATTTATTAGATAGTGGGGTGCCTGGGTGGCACAGTCGGTTCAGCCTCTGACTCTTGGTTTCAGCTCAGGTCATTATCTCAGGGTCGTGAGGTCGAGCCCTGAGATGGGCTCCACACTGAGCTCTGAGTGTGCTTGGATTCTTTCTCCCTCTGCCCCTCCTCTCCCCCGACGCTTGCTTGCTCACTCCACTCTAAAATAAATAAATCTTCAAAGAAAACTTTTTAGATATGATTATGATATTGTGATTGTTTTTGAAACACATATTTTAATTATACATATGGAAATATTTCTAGATGAAATTATATAATGTATGGGCCCTGCCTCAAGATAATATAGAATGGAGAAAATGAGTGGGGATATAGAAGAAACACGATTGACCATGAGCTGATGATTGTTGAAGGTGGGTGATGTGTATGTACATGGAGGTTCATTATACTCTTCTACTTTACGTTTGGTATTTTCTATAATAAAAAATCCCATAGTTCTCATCACGACCAAAAAAAAATGTTAACTATGTGTGTTTAGGATATTAACTAGGCTTATTGTGGTATTCATTTCACAATATCTACATATATCAAATATTATGTTGTACACCTGAAACTAATGTTATATGTCAATTATACCTCAATTGACGAAAACAGTTAAATAGAATATAGTCAGAATATGAACACTTCCCACAATCTCCACATCTACTCCTATGGCCCAAGTCATCTTCTTTTCCTGGATTATACCAATCATCTTCCAAATGGTTTCCTTGCTTCTACCTTTACCCTTATATAATCCACTCTTAACACAGCAGCAGTGTGGTCCTGTTAAAATATAAATCAAATCACTATTCTACTCAAAACCTCCCAAAGGCTGCTATGATCCATATCACCACTCCCCTCAAACCTCATCTCCCCTTGACCCTCACTCATTCATTGTGCTTTAGCCATACAAGAATTCTCTCACCTTGAGGCCTTTATATTTTCTCTTCCCTCTGCCTAGAACACTTCCACCAAAATAGACACACCATTCCCTCTTTTCCTTCAGCTCTATTTTCAAATGACATTATCGTTGAGATCTCTCCTTAACCACCTTGTATAAAAGAGTGACACTCCACCATCACTGCTTCTCTCCCTTGCTCTGGTTTATTTTCTTCTCAGTCATTATCACCATTTGACATTACTATGTATTTCTTTATTTTCTATTCTTCCCATGCTATAATTTCCATTAAAGTAAGTTTTTATATTTTGTTCACTGCTATAGTTTCAGTGACTAGAACATTTCTTGGCACATAGCAGGTGCTTGACAAATAATTGAAGCATTGAGATCCTCATTTTATAATGAGGAAAGCAAGATAAAAAGAGGCTAAGTAACTTGCCCCAAGCAATACAGATACTTTGACTTAAAGCTTTTCTCCTCTTCATTCCTCTTGTTTGGAATGCTTCCCATGTTCAAACCAGGGTCTTAACATTTATCTTCCATCAGAACTTGTGTACTTTCTACTCCAGCTGCAGAAAGTACTTCACAAGGTTACCATGAGGATTAAATGTGAATATGAGCATCATTAAACTTTGTAGAATGTCAGACCACATATAGTTGTTAGTTCTTGTGGTTTCATCTCTAAGATCAAAGTCAGACTAGCCTGTTTCTTCAAGCTTATTTTTATCTAGATGTGAAAATATAACTATTTTCTAGGAAACCTGAATAAATTCCAAGTATGAAAATTTAGATAGGCTGTCTTATGTTAATAACATGTGGTTTCCTGCAAGTAAGTAATGGAAATAAGATATTTCAGTTATTGAAATATTCTGAGGTGAGCACCTGGCCAAAAGCACAAGCACATGACTGTGGTTTAAACATAGCTCCCAGTTTCATCTCTCAGCTGCAGATGTGTTTTGGGGTATATAGATAGCTTATATGAGGTACAGTCTGCCTGTTAGCAGATGTGGACTAATTGAGTCAATTAAGGATAGTTATCCTCAAAGTTTTTCAAAACACCACTTTCAGTTTGCCAAGGAATTCTGTACCTGAAGCATTACATTCCCCAAATGAGCAGCACAATGATCTAAGCATTTAGATATTTGGAGAATAAACCACATTCATACTTACAATGATCTGATTATTTGTACATGCACACGTATTTTAAAATCCTATTCAAATTTGCAATTTATCCCATTGAACTAATGGGAAAAAACGATGTTCAAGGTGAAATAACTTGTCCAAATTTCCTTAGTGGGAAAAAGCAAAATAGAATGAAAACACATAAGAGGGTCGCCTGGGTGGCTCAGTCGTCAAGCATCTGCCTTCGGCTCAGGTCATGATCCCAAGGTCCTGGGTTCGAGCCCTGCGTCGGGCTCCCTGCTTTGCGGGAGGCCTGCTTCTCCCTCTCCCACTGCCCCTGCTTGTGTTCCCTCTCTGCTGTCTCTCTGTCAAATAAAATAAATAAAATCTTAAAAAAAAAAACATAAACACGTGAGTCAAAATTTCTCCTCTAGCTAGTAGTGTTTGCCTCTCAAGCTTTGCAGTTGACAGCATACTAGGTCATATTAGAATGATATGAAATTGTCATATCTGACTGGTTTTAACTTACAAATTTCATACGGTTCAAATTAATATTAATAATAGAATACTTAAAACAGCATGTATATTCAGGAGAGAAATTCAAAAACAAAACATCTTTTTAATGAAGGTGCTAAAATAGCAAAAATAAGAGTCTCATACCAACTGTAGAAAAGCTGTAATTAGATAATAACATAAAATTATAGTAAGTGATTTTGTAAAGCTCAATACTTTATAAACACTAAATGATAATGTCAAATAAGATTACAGATTGCCTATGCTCAGAACACTTGTCAGGGAGCCCAAAATCAGATTTGATTCTTTTATTATCCTCTTAACTCTACCATGTTCCATGACCCACTGTACTCACTCTTAATCCAAGACACTCATTTTTCAAGTGCATGTCCCAACACAGAGGATAAGAGGAAAGGATTGGAGAGGGGATGAATTTCAAGAAAAAGAACAAATCCATGACTCCTGCCGTACATGTGGGGATAGATTCCTACACCTGCCCTATAGCATATGCTAGTAAATTGTGAATAAATGAATGGGTGAATGAACAAATACCTTATTAGTGATAAATAAGTAGTTTCATTCCTAATTGTGAAAGATAAGATCTTAAGTGATGTCTCTAAAGAATATAGAACCATATAATGTGTTTTAGATGAAGTGATCTTAAAGATATCTAATCTACTGTGTATTTTGTAGTTGAGAAAATAAAGGCTTGAAATAAATGATTAGCCCAAAGTCACACAGCTTGTCCGTGTCAGAACTGGGACTAGAATTTATGTCTCCTGCTTCTCAGTGTAATACTCCTTCCACTATTATCTTCAGATAAAGCATCTTTCTTGCCATTAGAAATAATTAGCATGTAACTTTCATATCCTGAATGTAGCAGAGTAGCCTTATTTAGTATTATAATCAGAAGGCCTTAAAATTATTTAATCTAGTCCCTTATTATACAGAGGAGAGCCAATTAGAGCATAAACAAACTCAGGTGCCCAAATTCAGAGCACAATCCACCTCATGCTGAAGGACATTCATGTACTTAAAGCTTATTTGCTTTTACCTACTTTGATAGCGTATGATACTCCACATGTGGGTAACAGGAAATGTTTATTTATATACAAGTACATGAGAAAGCAATTTCCATTCATCTTTTTAAAAAATTTTTACAAATAAAAAGTATTAATACATTCATCCTTTGCACACAAAATACATTCTTTTTACTTTTACTCTCAGTATGAATTATTTCTTAATAAAAATTTAAGCTACAATGGACAGTCAGGTGGTTTGGCGATTTGACAATCTTTTTTCAAGATGGAAAATCCAAACTTTAAAGACAGTCAATATGTAAAGGAAAGTATATATTAAAAGTGCTCCTTCATTGAATCTTAGAAGATTGAATGAGTACTCCTTTCCAACATGGTTTGTAGCTATCCCTTGAAACAACGCAGAGAACTTTAGAAATTCTCTATGTGATGACAGCTCAATTTCTACAAGACAGTCTTCATGAAATTGATTATCATATATAAATGGTAGGCTCATAGAAAGATTCCTATGGACATATTGGGAAGTTAGCCATTATTCAGGGTCCCCTAACTGACCAATTGACCTAAGATTGTAAGTTGCATTCTCCAAGTGGGATTTTAAGAGGTTCTGCTTAAGTGAACACAAATGATTTGTTAGACTAATCGCTTTTAAGAGAGATGTGAAAATATATACCCACACAGGAAACTTGTACACAAATGTCCATAGCAGCATTATTTATAACAACCCCCAAATGGAAACAACCCAAATGTTTATCAACTGATAAATGGACAAGTAAATTCTGGAATATACACACAATGGAATATTATTTAGCCATAAAAAGAATACTGATTCATGGTACAACGTGAAACTTGAAAACATTATGCCAAGTGAAAGAAGTCAGACACAGAAAACCACATATTGTATGAAATGTCTAAGATAGGCAAATCCACAGAAACAGAAAGTAGGTTAGTGGTTACCAGATGCTGGGGGAGAGGGTGGAGAAGTAATTGCTAATGAGTACAGAGTTTCTTTTGGGGATACTGAAAATGTTCTAGAGTTAGATAGTGGTGAGTGTTGTACAACTTTGTGAAGATACTAAAAACACCAAATTGAACACTTTAAAGGGGTGAATTGTGTGTGAATTATATCTTAATTCTAAAAAGAGGGATGCAACTTCATTAAAGAATTTTTCACGTTCCTGTTCCTGATACCCCCTTTTTAATGCTGATTTAAATTTTCATACAATTGCCTTTCTATAGAGTGTTTTCAGCTAAGTGCTCTCAGGTCATTATGGGCTTATATTTCTAACAAGCTTTTTATTAAACAAACAAAATACATGAACACATAGGACAATACAGTGTGCTGCATATTAACATTTAAAACCAAGTATTATGCCTGTGTTGAATCAGATAGTTAGATTTTATACACTGGTGTATTCAGATATTACTGAGAGCCTATGCTTAAAACCAGCCAAATATTAATAACGGAGTTCATAAGATTTGATGATTAACATGTTTGTTAAAACTACGTGTATGTTAAAGGTCCATGTTTTAAAGGAAAGAGATAAGGAAAGGGGGGAAATCAGGGGTTCTCTAAGTCTTCATAAAACAGCTTCTCTAAATATTTTAACTAGCTGCTGAGAAGACCTCCAGAATGATATATTTTGCATTTTATTTCATCCCTACACTAAAAGTCATGCACTAAAGTATAGTAACAATATATGTGCGGCACAACTTCTTCCCTTTAGATGATCAAAAATCTCTTCTTAATCCTTTATTATTTGAAATTTTAAAAGCCGAGTTTTTTGGAAAAGTGTGCATGTGTGTTGCTGAAAACAGCAACTTTACTCACACACTTACCTTTATGTAAGTGTATTTACATAAATACATTTATGTAGCTCCCTTACATATTATCAAAGGAGCTCCAACCATCTGGTATGTCTAGAGGACACTTCAGTGAGCAGAAATTAGAAGCCAGCATTCCAGTCATTTGAAATTTTCCACAAAGGGACATGAAAGCCCCAACATGCCTTAAAGGGATAAGAGGATTAAAAATTTTTTTTAAATCAATTGACATTCATTGTCAAACAGCCTACAAGAAAGTTCCACTAGCATTCTGCAATTGTATAGGATAAGAGAATATTTCTAATGATTACATTCCAGAAAGCTATATGTTTAGCAGCTGTTTTTCAGAGGGCTTATCAAGTTTTGCTATTGTTATTTAACCCAGGCATAACTGTATAACCTTAAACAAAGCTGTGGACCATTCAACTAATGATAAATTATCCTAACAGACCAGATTCTTGTGTTATTCTGTACATGAGTTTTTGCTTTATTAGGCATTTGGTACTCCAATTTTTCTTTCAGAATACAGTGCACATGTAGAAAGGGAAAGAAACCCTGCTAAATTTGGATGTTGGTAATTACGTCCATCAAATATACGTCATCTCCAAAATGAAATTCTAAAAGCAGATGACAAAACTAGGATTCATGACTCTATTTTTACCAAGAGGAGAAAACAACCACACAACCAGAATAATTCTTCAGAAGCACACTTTGTTATCAAGTATATAAGGAAGAAAAATACATGGATAATTGAAGAATTAATCAACAGTAAGACTGTGATCTAAATCTGATACTAATAAGAAACTAAGAGTTTACAAATACCTAGTTTGACATTCCCCAAGAGAATAATGATTATCACCTTAATGAGCTTTTTCTGACTGTCATTAAAGGAGAAAAATGAGGCAAAGGGCAACAATAAATGGCAAACACGGTCCCTTAAAAAGAAGATAGGATCAGCCCATTTTTCTTCCCATGGAGAATGGGCTCAAGAAGAAAGAGGTTCAAATTGCACTGTGAGGTATTTCAGTAATACAGTTAAGTTTCCTGATAATGAGGAGTTTGCAACCTGGAATTGCCCATTGGGAAAGAGTGCAAGAATACCTTTCCTGAAATATGTAAAGAAATAAAGAGACTCTTGGGTGAAGGTAATGGCCAAAGGCAGAAAGATGGATCAAATAAGTGACTTCCTTTTAAGGCCCTTTCAGAAATGGTGCTCTTTTCTTTGAAGTTGAGAGGGGTTCTTTGTTTTGTCCTAAGGATCTTTACTTGTATCAAACCATCCAAAGTCTGCCCTTAATTAAGGAGACAAGAACTAATATTTGACTGCCTACTGTTTACTGAGCACTGTCCTAACTTTCAATTTATCTTACCTAATTTTCACAATAATTCTGACAGGTATAATGTGTCTAGCTCATAGATGGGGAAACTGATGCTCAAGAGATTGTGCTTTGCATAAAGATACAGCTAATTCATGTACTAGGAGTACTAGGACTCCTCATATCTAACCTGGTGTTCCCCCTTCACACACCTCCCTACATCACTCCTTGAAGTGTTAAAGTTATAACCGATCAAGTATTCTATTAGGAACTAGGACACAACATCTCCAAAAATTCTGCTCTAATTCAAGGAGTCAAAGAAAGTCTTACCCAAACTCAAGTGTTTCTCACCATACTGATGCAAGACCAATGACTTCTTATAAAGACTAATGAAAAGCCATCTATCAGCTTAACAGGGATGCAAGTTATTTTGTAGGTGGAATCATGTGGTCATGGGCTTTATTAGTAAGTGTTGCTTATAGTTATCTCTGATTTCTGAAAACCCATGTTTTGTTACTTTTTCTACATGAAGAAATTTGGCTTTGGTTCTATTAAAATAATTTGCAGAACATGTTTTTTCAAGAGAATCAAACCAACTAACGAAATGTCATTTGAGATTCTGCCAAAATAGATCTTAGGGTCTGCTTTATGCCATTAACGCCCCAGTCCATCTCTAATGGAAGCTGCAAAACTTCATGTTGGTCCATTTATGGGATCTTTAACTGAAGATTCTGTTCTGCTAAAAAGGCCTGGTCTGAAATCCTGGATACCAGTTATTCACTAAACTGAGCATGTTTGGCAAGTAACAAAAACATAATTTCCATGATTTTACGTAACTTCTATTAAAATAATACCTTTTCTTCTTTTTAACTCAAGAGCCAGTTTGTGATTTGAACTGGACATCAGTGAATGGACTGACAAAGCAATTCCAGCCTAGGCCACAATGACAAGCCAGTCTCTTAGCCAAACAACATGTAACCAACCTCCTTCCAGGAGGATTGGCAAAACAGCAACACCTTTAAAAAAAACAAAAAACAAAAAAAAACCTACATTAGCTGTAGGTCAACAGATATTTAACTGAACATGTGAGAGGCAAAGTGCTACAACATAAGTTAATAGGTCATCTAGTCGAACCTCCAACCAATGCTGAGATCCTTTCCACATCATATAGCGTCTGCTTGATGGTTACTATTACCTAAGGCAGCTCCTTCCATGGTGAGCCACCTTTTTGAGAAAGTTCTCCCTGACACAGAGCCCAAATCTGTGGCCCTATGGCCTTTAATCTGTGGACCTCATTCCACCCCCTCTGAACCAGAGTCTTGCACTAATTCACTAATTGTATTCCTCTCTCTTTCCCAGGCTAAATCTCTCCAAATCCTTCAAATATTCTTCAAAGGTCATAAATTTTAAATTCCTTCACCATCTTTGTTATGCTTCAATTTGTTTTTAATTTCAAAGGATAGCTCCCAAAGATGACTTAGGAAAGAAGATGAAGTGTCATCTCTCTTGTTCCAAGGTTACTATATCAATTAGCTGTTTGAAGGGATGATAATTTCTTAATTCAGTATGCTTTCTACCTAGTGTGATGAATGTAAGGGAAGGCAGCTTTCCTTTTAAACACAAATACACTCATGGAACAGAAATGAAATTCGAAAAGAAGAAAGAAAAGAGCACATCCCCCTCTTATCCCAAAATTAGTGCTCAACCAGATTGCTTGTGTGAAGTACTGTTCGTCTGAACAATGAGATACACATCTTTTCACTGGTTTTGAATTTCTAGTTAAGTCTCAAAAGTATTATAGTTGCTTTAAAATGCATCTGTCAGGACCATGGTTGAGGAAAGTAAGTAACCAGTTGCAGTTAAAAAAAAAAAAATCTAGAGAAAACAAAGGGCAAACCCTAAAAGCTCTTCCAGAAGCTAATGGGGCAGTATTCCCTAAAGTACGGATGGCTATGAAATGTAGAGTTCTGGAGGCTTAAGAAATAGAAAATGTCTATCTTTAGAGCCATTGGTTTGATATGTGGGTAAGAAAATGAAAGTTTTTTTCTGGTTATAAGATGATATCTTACTTATGTGGCTTGGTTTAGAAAAAAAGATGTTTTCACTTTAGTCAGAAGAGCAATTCAAAATCACTTGCAACTGGTATCTATTCAAAATGATTCATTAACTGAAATTTGATGCTGAATCTGGAAGAATTATGGAATAGCCGAGAAGATAAATGAGGCAAATCATTGACCTAACACTGGAAATCACCAGTGTCCTCCAAAGGTATCATTCATGTATAGAATCCAGTCCTCTGTTAAATTCTGCCTCCTCTCTCCAACAAATCTAAATTGCTTAAAACAAATAATCCTAATCCAAATATATTATTTTGGCCAGTGGTTTTTACCCTTCTTTCAGAAATTGACACATTGCCAAATCAATCCATTTGACTTTCATTTCTAGTTACACTCTTGCCACTTTACTCAGGAAGAGATGGTAACATGAAATGAGTAGAAAAGATAGGGGAAAAAGAAAGGCCAGGAATGCTAATGGCCTAATCTAATCTGCAGAAAGGACAATTGGCCCTGCATAATCAAAATTAAATATAAATGCAATAGAAATAACAAAAGCATATAAACAAAAAGCCTTGTATAGGTAAAGGAAAAAGCACAAAATCCTATGAGGATACAGTCTACACAAAGCCATAACATACCATTAATGTCAGCGAGCTATATGATTTCACAGATTCTCCCAAACCTGACTCTATGACATAAATATACATTTTCATTGGAAATGGAGAAGTTTTGCCATATATTTAGTAACTTCATTAAAAGAAGAAAAAATGCAAGCAGACACGGACTCAGTGTGAGGCAGATCAAGCCAAACTGAATTATGAGAAAGCAACTCTTTTTCATCCACCATGAAATAAGAATTCATTTTTATTTAAGAAGGCTCATCTTAGCAAATGTTGCCATGGCAATAACCACCAGTAAGCAAACCAGTGAGTTTAGTTCCTGGTCTAGGTTAAGATGACCACATTTAATTAGTATCCTTTCTCAAGTTCTATTTGAGAAATTTCCATGTGACCAGCAAAGCTCCACTCAGCACTAAGTCATTTATTCAACTAATATTTATGGAGCACCTACAATATGGTCAGGGATTGTTCTGAAACTAGAGATGTATCAGTAAATAAGTGTCCATAAGGTCTAACGTGGAATTCATACAACTAAGGCGGGGAGAAAAGCTCTAAATTCCCATGTATCTCTGCTGATGGGCCACAGATGGGTGATTGTACCTTACGGAAAGGCTGCGAGGAGTAACAGTGAAGGAAGAGACCAAGAGCAGAACTTTCTAATCCCCTATGAGTATGGCCTATTCCCTAGGGCTCTGGGGAATAAGAATTTCAGAATGCAAGAGCAATTCTAGAAGCTGTTGTTCTACGACTAAATTTGTCCAACCTGAAAGTCTACGTTCACAAAGCAGCTTTAGTTTCCACATGCTTGCTGCTGTGGAGACAAAGTTAGGTCATGATATGGGATATTGGATTTTTGCCCTAAATGAAAGTCAATAAATCTAAACCTATGGACATTTCCTCACAGTTTAAACAGAGAAGTTCTTCTTCCCACCTTGATCAACTTGTTTTCTGAAAACTTTTATAGTTGCTGGCTTAGTGGAGAAACAGGGAGGGAAAAGCAACAATTATTATAAATGATTTTGGATGGCATTTATTAAAATGATTTTTCTTTCCTGCAGAAACAGATTCAAAATAAAAGCAATTCAAACTACTACGATCTCTTTCTCTCACCCATAGGATCAGAACAAACACAGTGAAGCCAACCAAAAGTATCAATCCCTTATACAATATGTATAATCTGTATACAAGAGATGAGTCACTCTGAAATCTGCTAGAGGAACACTGGAAATGCTTTATCGATGTCGTGTCTCTATGCGCCTCATTTCTTTAAAATTAAACAGCTTTCAAACATCAACATATCAGGACCGAGATTGCCACCATCTACAACAACAGAACTGCATATTCTGCCCTTATTCCATTATGCATCCCTCAGTGATGCCAAGTGGCAAGCTACAGAAACATCCGACAGCATCAACAGCATACAGGTTTAATTATTTCCCCAATTTGCATTTATATCAGTGAACAGATTGGAAGGCATCAAAGTATGGCACTAAAGAAATTAGTAACACGTATCCAGCAGCACATCTTCCATTTCGAGTCTTGTTTTAAAATTGGCTAAGTAAAGGCATATACACCTCCATTTGAATTGGAGATTTGCAGTAACACATGCATATAAAGGGAGGGAGGAAAAGAGAGGAAAGAATGGGGAGACAGGAGAGAAAGGAAAAGAAAAGGAAATAGGAAAGAATGTATGGTCGTGAGTCTGAGAGTAACATCACTATATGAATGAGTTGACAAATGCCAGCTCCACCTGCTTCCACAAGCAGAATTTTTCTAAGGTTACTGAAGATACAAAAATGGTTCATGAGACTTTTCATCTGTTGCTATTGTCACTTGTGATACCAAAAACATGTACAAAATTCTAAGCCTTGGCCTGTCCAAGATGGATAGTACCAGGAAGTAAAAGATGTCACCTGCTATTGAGGACTGTGCTCTGCTTAGAACTCTGCATCGCAGTCCATTCATCCACAGTATTTTGGTCAGATCAGGTCTGTTTTCTCATACTACTCGTGATGTCTTAGAGCTAGTCTTTTATATTAGAATATCACCAGCCATTTTTTTTTTCATTTTTTCTAACGTTTTCATTTACTTAAAGGGCTGGACAGATGAGAGAATAGAAGAAGAAAATGGTAGAGATTTAGAGGGGAAAGAACATGAAAGGAAAAGTATTTTATTTTCCAACAAATCCACCCTAGAAAAGGTAGTAATGAGACTTTGAGAAAGAGTGTTGATTCATGGACTTCCCTTATTTTTTTTTTATTTCAATGTAATACATTTAAGGACATCAATGTACTAAAATGTTTGGTCTGTGAAAGAGTGGACTCATTAGCACCAAAAGGAGTCATGGAGCTTATATATATTATTAAACCAATGATGGTTACTGTTGGTCATGGGAAAAGGTTTCATTTCATTTTTACATCGCAAAGTTCTTGAAAGTGCCTGTGGACAAGAGAAATAACACTTTTCAACGTCTCCATAGAGTCATCAACACACACCCCAGAGGCAGTACTTGGCCTTCCCAGTTTGGGTTTATCTGGTAGACAAGAAAGCCAGGGCCCCCAGAAGCCCTAAAGCACAGCCCCCACATGCACCCACTGACGTGCAGGAGGGATCTCCCTACGGTACATTTTCCCCTGGACTGTTCAGGAATGCGCTTTTACTTGCTTTTTTTTTTTTTAAAAAAAAGAACAAAAGCAACATGCTCTGCAGATCATGGAGCGCCTAGTGCAATTTTCTCCTTGCTCCAACTCCTGACTGCAAAAGGGTGAAACCATTATATGTTCTGCTAATGCTGGCCTGTGGACAAAACCTCTGGGCTGCCATGCTTTGTAAGCCCGGATCCCACAGGAGTCAGAAGGTCTGAGAGCGGGAGCCATAGTCATCACCAGACCTCCCCCAGCAATTTGGGGGCCCATCGGGGCAGCTGCTGATTCCTCTCGCTTCTCCTTGCCTCAGCCTTTAGTTGAAATTACAACAAGTCAAATAGCTAATGCTTTTCCCTTCTCCGGGTAAGGGCGAGGATACATTGTTCACAAGTGTGTTCTGTCTGGCTTCACTGATGAGGCGGCACGCTAAGTCAAGGAATAGTTTCTCCACGTTATCTGATTCCTTGGCTGAGGTCTCCAGGTAATACATGTCCTGAGCTTCTGAGAATTCTTCAGCTCTCTGCTGGGAGACCTCTCTCCTTTCAGCCAGATCAATCTTGTTGCCTAGAACAGGGATAAATCAAAGAAGGAAACATCATTGGACTTTGTACAGGCTCGGAAGCATCAAAATTCAATTTCATATCTGAAGTCAAATCAGACACATGGGCAAGTAAAGCAAAGCAAATGTGGCTGTGATTACTGGAATGTTTAAGATATCAATGCCATTTGTAATGGCAAAGAACTGGACACAACCCAAATGCCCATCAGTTGGGCACTGGCTTGAATGAAGTATGGTACATCTGCGCAATACAGTGATTTGCCTCGGTAAAAAGCAATGAGGAATGGCTCCATATACTATCATGGAATGAGACACGAGGATATACTGTTAAGCAAATAAAGCAAAACAGATAAAAGATATAGAACATACAACTGTCTAAGAAAAAGGGATTAAAAAATACACACATGCACATTCACAAACTTTATTTTCTTGATGTGATAATAAGCCAACATTTTAATTTTAAAAATAATGGTTACCCATGAAAGGAACAAGGTTGAGGAGATAGGGAGGGACAGAAACTCAACCTCTCTAAATATACCTTGTCCTAATAGATTTGACTTCAGAATCTTAGAAATGTTTCACATAATTATACAGTTACAACTATATGATTAATACAAAATTAAATTTAAAAAGCAACCCCTACCAATGGAAAAGCAAAATGAAACAAATAAACCTGTTTATCATGAAATGGCATAACCACACAGAGAGGAACGATTCCAAGTGAGTTCAAGATCTAGGATTTTAACCATGCGTCCTCAGTGGTATATACTCTAAGGACAAAAAGACCTGAAAGAAAACATCTTGAACTGTTACAGTAATCATCCTGTCAGGGGGCAGTGTGAGAACTGTTATTCTAAGGCTGCTCTGTGGGTTTTAGGGCATAAAGCAAATGAGTAATTGTGCTAGTATCACTGGGTCTGAGATTTGGGGCATGAGAAAAAGGAAATAGAGAAAGATTAATGAGGTAAAGTAAAATTTTTACAGTCCTGAATTATAAATGGAAGTATCAGTGTGAATAATTCATGGTGGATTTTATCTTTAAAAATTTTTCTACCTCTGTTCTGGAAACCTGACAAAACCTGACATCAACTGCATTATCTGGCAACACAGCTTATGGTAAAAGTGACCCCTGACTGATAAATTCCATCTGGCCTGGGAATTCTATGTATGAATTCTAAGTTTCTAGTGGAAAGCCACAACTTTGGGCATCCCTGAGTGGGGGGACTCTTCACTTGAAGAGACCCTGAAAGTTAGGTCCATGGAGTTGTTATAAGAAAGCCTGGTCCCCGGGACGCCTGGGTGGCTCAGTCGGTTAAGCGTCTGCCTTCAGCTCAGGTCATGATCCCAGGGTCCTGGGATCGAGTCCCGCATCGGGCTCCTTGTTCCGCGGGGAGCCTGCTTCTCCCTCTGCCTCTGCCTCTCTCTCTCTATCGCTCATGAATAAATAAATAAAATCTTAAAAAAAAAAAAAAAGAAAGCCTGGTCCCTGCTAAGGCTTCTAGGTCACAGCAGGTCCATCAGGTGCCTGACATGAGCCTTTTTCCTTATACTGGAACTGGCCTGGAAGGTCCTGGACCACTATGTGGACTGCTATCGAGGATTACTTCCCCTGAAGAGGAATGTCTGATGCTGACCTGCTATGAAGCCATATTTTCTGTCCTGATTCATCTAAGTGAACGTCATGCCAAGTGTGGCCTATCGAGTAGTCTTGTCAGTCAAAGTGTTTGGTGGAGCCTAATATATAACTCCCTGTGGGCACTACACAATTCACCACACACACACACACACACACACACACACACACACACACACACTAGTTCTGTCCACTGAAAAGCCTAAAAGCAATGACCACCCACTAATAAGGAAGATTCTTATCACGTTAGGTGTGGCCTCTAAATATAACTTCACATTAATAATAAGCAATGCTTCTCAAAGAAATGGCTAATTCCTGGTGTGGGCAGGAAACGCACAAGTTGTGCCTGGAATGCTTACACCAGAAAGCAAGCGATGGTCATTGTCAAAAGGTCATATCTAAAGGACTAGGAGACCATTTGAAGCAGCTCCACTCTCAGAGTTGGAACAATTGGACCATCAATGATAACAGTTGCAAGGGCCTAGAATATACTGAATATATTTAAACTTATAATAATATTCAAAATATAAACAAATTTTAGTAGTTACTTTTGGAAGATACTAGGGAAAGAACTCATTTTAAAAAGTGAGAAATTTAAAAAAAGGGAATCAAGCATTTTTCTTGCTGTCCTATGAGAACTGTACCTCAGAATATCAACTAGGAAGTATATTTGCTAAAAGGAAAAACAAAAAAACTGAATCTGACCAGGCCTCTAAATTTACCTGCAAATCTGCAAGGAATACAGGTGATGGAGGAATATGTCAAAGTATACTACGGTGACAAAATAACAAAATTCAGACTTGAAAACTCTGAAGGATAAACATATGCTTTAACAAATAAATTCAAGGGAGAAAAAATGGAGGGATAACCTACAGGCAGAAGGAGAATTAAAAGACACAAAATCCAATGAGAATATATGAGCCTTATTTGGATTTTTGATTTGAACAAATTTTTTAAAAATGTCTGAGTCAATCAAGGAACTCTGAACATTGTCTAAATTTTTGATGCTATTAAAGAACTTAATAATTTTTAGGTGTGAAAATGGATTTGTGGGGCGCCTGGGTGGCTCAGTCGTTAAGCATCTGCCTTCGGCTCAGGTCATGATCCCAGGGTCCTGGGATCGAGTCCCACATCGGGCTCCCTGCTCGGCAAGAAGCCTGCTTCTCCCTCTCCCATTCCCCCTGCTCTCACTATCTCTCTCTCTGTCAAATAAATAAATAAAATCTTTAAAAAAAAAAAATGGATTTGTGGTTAGGTTCTATTTCTTTAAAAATCCTCTTTTGAAGATATACACGGAAATATTGAAAGATAAACTAATATAACATCTGGGATTTGCTTCAAAATAATCTGAAGACAAGGGGAGACAACATAGAGGGGGAGCAGACAAAATAAGATTGGCCATGAATTGATAATCATCGAAGCTGAGAGATGTGTACATGGGGGTTCATGATACTGTTTTTTCTACTTTTGCTTGTGTTTGAAATTTTCCATAATAAAAAGATTTTTTTTTAAAGCCAGTGCCTCTTTCATACTGAATGGACTAATTATCTCCCATCAAATCTCCATTTAACTTCCTTAGAATCCCAAGGAATAATGCTTTGACTCAAGTTCTCAAGGGCTTTCTGTGGAATAGAAAGAAAGCCCAACTCCTGAGATAGGTGTTTTCAAATGCTTCATGACAAACATTCTCCAGTGTGCAAGAGGGTTTTCAGGAGGGGGCATAGAGCACTAGCTCATAGAGAGGCAGATACTTAACCCAGCAGCCTGAAAGAAAAGTCCAGCAATTTGTTACAAAGCAGCACATTACACTTACATGCTGGGCAACCTTGGGCAAAGAACTTCACCTCTCTGAGCCATGGTTTCCTCATATGTAAATTAGGAATCATTACACATAAATTTCCTAATATGATTCCTGGCACATGGGTGCTAGCTATAATGCTTACTATAAGTGTTTACTTAGCTTAATGTTAACCATAATTTGTGACTTAACAATGTTTCTGAGATTCTCTACCTGGATTTCCAAAATTCAAGTCTTGCTAGACTATACAGCAATGTTCCTTTATAGGAAGAAAACATTTTAACAGCCATATGTTATTAACACTTTTCATCACACTAGAGGAGTTTTTAACAATCCAATCCATGTCACTGCAATCCCATTGTTAATGGGCATGTTTGTCACCACAGAAAATCATGGGTTGTTTTCTGCTTTCCCCCCTTACTAAACAGGGGTTCTACTCTCCCACAAGGTGAAACAAACTGCAGAATTTCCCTTAGTGGATTCTTTCTTAAGTTAGAATTTCTCAAGTCAGCACGAATGTAAGAAGAGAAGTCCATTTTTTTTAGGCAATAAGCAATTACTTTAAGAATAAATTCTTTATTAACTTAAGAGATATGCTTTACTTCTAGACCAGCAGTTTCTATGATTTTGTAACTAGATTTTTTGCGTAATGTTTAGCAGCCCACAGAACTTTCATGGCAGTCTACCTTCTTCCCTAGAGCCTTCATTGACAGAAAAATCAATCAGCAATATTTTCTACTTTACTTTTCTAAACCATCGCCTTGAGATATGACCTATTTCATTTTCTCTTAAATTTCAGAAGGACTGAATGTTGATTTCATGAATTATATGGCTGTAGACTATGTTACTGGAAGGTACCAAGGCACAAGCACTATGTGATTATAAATTCTCCGATGGCCACAAATCAATTTCCTTCCTCATCAGTCCTCACTTACCCACTAGCACAGTGATGACCTTGTTGCTGGCATATTGTTCTATCTCCCGCAGCCACTCAGGAAGGCAACGGAAGGATTCCTCACAGGTTATGTCATAGGTGAGGATCAAGGCATTGGCGCTTCGGTAATAACTCTGGGTAATGGACCGAAATCTCTCTTGACCTGCTGTGTCCCAGATCTGAAGCTGTAAAGGCGTAAGACAAAGATCAGGTTGGAGAAGCAGAAAAGAAAGCATTGCCTTGCTTTAGTTTACAAATGGAAACACCTCGCTCAATTTCATGGTTATTTTCTGCCCTAAAAAACAAACAAAAAAATTTTTTTTAATGCAGTAGATCTGGTTATGGAGAGGGGCTTGCTTTGTTTTGGGGGGTTTTTTCTTTATTATATTACCTAAGCATTTCTTTTATTCTTAAAAAAAAACAAAAACAAAAAACTTATTGTGAGGCGCCTGGGTGACTCAGTCAGTTAAGCAATTGCCTTCAGCTCAGGTCATGATCCCAGGGTCCTGGGATGGAGTCCCGCATCAGGCTCCCTGCTCAGCCGGGAGCCTGCTTCTCCCTCTCTCCCCTTCCCCTCCTCCCTGGCTTATGCTCTCTCTCTCTCTCAAATAAATAAATAAATAAATAAATAAATAAATAAATAAAATCTTTTTAAAAAACCTTACTGAGCATTAATTATGTGTCAAGCTCTAAGCATTTTACATGTAATGTACTCATTGAAGTAGGTACTATAACTATATCCATTTCTCACACGAGGAAACTGAGGCACGGAGAGATTAATTAAGTCGCTCAATGTCCCAGAGCCAATTTAACCAGGCATTGTGGTCCCAGAGCTCGTGCTGGTAACCACAGTGACATATTACAAACGTCGGGACAGAGAGCAAGCTGTCATTCTGTGATTGCTGCCATTTCAGTCAGCAACTGGAGCACGAGAACATCCAACCTCAGCCATCTTTTCCAGTTCAAAACTCAAATGAATCTATTAAGATATTATCTTTGTTAATGAAAACAGGAACAATGCGTGGCAGATAAAATAATTTCCCTCCACCACTTTTAAGCTCTGAGACCATGGGCAAGTCACTTGATCTCTGGGTTTCAGTGGTTTCTCTATAAAAAGACATTAGTAATATCCAAGCCTACTGGAAGTTCACATTTTCTGAAGTCATCTACCAGTTCTAAGACCTAATAACTGATGGTTCTAATAATAAAGAAGAAAATAAAAAACACTTCTCCCCAGATTTCCCTGCACAGAGCAGAAGACTGCAAAGAGAGCCATACTCCAGAGCCTCCTGAGTGCAGAACAATGCAGAAGGCCCTGAGAAATAACATCAACAATAGTAAGAATGCTCCCTTCTAAACTGCATAAACATCATGTCACAAAATGCATTCACCCCATTAAGAGAACATCATTTCCTCAAGGAAAACCTTCTGGAACGTTCAGATTAGGCCAGGTTCCCCATCCCCACATTTTCTCTTTGGCAACCCACCCTGTAATTCTGCCTCATGGCACCTGACACACTTGAATCATTTATTTGTAATAATATGTTTGATAACAGTCTTTTTCACTAGACTGAAAGCTTCATGTAGGGGAAGTGGTCCATTTTACTCACAGAATCCCCTGCACCAAATAAAGTGCCTACCTGGCAGATAGTAGATGTTCAAATATTTATTGCGGGTCTGATTTAATCTTTACAACAACCCAGGGAGGTAGGCCAGTTTATGCCTCCCCTCCATCTCCTAACTGGCTACCCACAAGGCTGGGGATCGGACTCCAGGCTTTCTATTCCCAGTTGAGGATGCAACCCACCACCATGCTGCCTCTGCCCCCAGAGCCTGATTTTAATAGACATCTGCATCCAAAGAGGATGAGTTAGTTGGTGTCACCCTCTGTTCATACCAGTTTAGCTGAGAAGACTAATGAGGGACCGGTGGTCCCTGTCCCCAGACAGTGGCACAAGGCTCTCCTTTGATCTGAAGTCGCAGCTGCTCTTTATGAGGTACATGAAAGTCTGTGTGTGCTGAAGGCGACCATACAGATGTTACGGCTTTTGCTGGGACAAAAGCTATTTCTCTGCTCTGCTTTAAACCTAGGGACATGGTTCCCCTCTGCCAGGATGTGTCTTAGAACAACAGACTATTGTTTTCATACCACAGTGAGCCTTGAAAAACACTTCTCATTGAATTTAATACTGTCAATCATTAGAAATCACTATATTCTCATGATTGGCACATCTTGAGAACAGCTCTGAGGATTAAAACCACTGAAATAGTTTTTAGAAGAGTGATTGTATGGCCCTGCCAAGATACAGGCTGATTTCTCCTAGGGGGCTGCCTGTTTCTAGCCTCATAGCTGAGTCTTAAGAATATCCATATTCCACTGCTTTTATCATTCAATTTGGTTTCACTATTTTCTCTGCAACTCATTCGCTCCTTTTCAGCATTTACATGTCATTAATATATGTAGAGTTCTGTGCTAGGCACAGGGAGGATACCGAGATGAATACAACACAATTCCTGATCTCACAGAGCTCACCGTCTACAGGGAGATCAAACATAGTAAACTAACCATAATAAAAGAGGCGATGTTCTTGGAATAAAGACATACCAGCAGGAGGTATAATCTCATTCTGGTCAATATGTTCTCAATACTGCAGCCATGGGCTTTCTAAGCGTCCTCTTCTTCATCAAGGGGCTACCTGTTCGCCTACACCCTTTGCACGATTACTCATCTCTCCTGTCTCACTGTCGTGATCGTGCGCACAGGCACACCAGGGGTGCCTCTGTGCCCGACTGAGTCCTTTGAGGGCAAGGGCCACCTGTCATTGAACCTTATAGTCCAGTGCTTTCCTAGCAGAGTACATGGTACATACTGGACACATGTGAATAATGGCTAGCTGAAGGAAAAAGGATAACGGAATCACAAAGAAAGGGCTCTGATTCATTCTGCTTAAATGATTGATAGGTAGGATATTAAAGAAGGTTTCACAGATAAAGTGTTTGAGCTTGGTGACAGTGAGTTCCTAGCGGGCAAAATATTTTACCTAACACAGTGCTTGGCACACGTCATGTACTATACCACAGGATGGATATATGGATGAATGGATGGACAGATGGTCAAATGAGTAAATACATGTGAATATGTTCAAGACTTTCTTATCTATGCAATATATACTTGATTACAAAGACAGCCAGCAAATCTTCTATTCATATTATAAAGAATATCCTAAGGTTACAATGTTGTAGCCTGACCTGGAAGTTTTACTTGTTTCTCATTTATTTATGATAGACTTAAAAAAATGGATAGGAGAAAATTCTACATCTGTTTTAACTGCATTTTCTACTCAAGGTCATTTCAAAAGGCAGACCACATTAAGAGAAGGGCCTCAATTTTGCCTTTACTGACGTGGCACTAAGTATTAACAGCCACAAGAATGTTTCTAATATCTTCGATTCCCTGCCTTCAATCCTGGAAGCCATCCTAAAAGAAACCAGACTGAAGAGGGGAGGCCAAGGCGAGCCAATGAGAAGTCAGGAGAGAGGCCTGGGATGTGGTGCTGCTTTGGCATTCACCAGGCAGGTGATCCTCCACAAACCACCAGCAGCTTCTCTTTCCCACTGACTCTGCAGGACTCTGAGAAAGCCCGCAAACTACTCGCAAAAAGAGACTTAGACATCACCGAGAAGAGGGGTTCAGTAATGTTAAAGAACAAGGACAACGATGAGACAACTGTGTCCCTGGTGAAGCTTGGGCAGCTCTGTCCTCTTCTACGGAAAGATTGAAGACGTTGCTCCTCACATGTCTCCATGTTGTGAGGCCCTTGGATTAATGGGGTCAAAGAGGGTCATTCTAAATCTTGGTTCCACATACATGGCTAGAAAGAAACTCAAGCAAATTAATTAGGACTCATTAATTTAGGAGATTAACCAACTCCTCCTGTTTAAAGATGAAGGTCCAGAGGCCTAAAGCGGTGAGAGAACAGGAACTGTGCTGTGGATGGGGAGAGGAGTGAGACACAAACCTGGTTCCTGAGGAGCTTGGGGTCTCGTGGCAGCATCGGAGGTTAGGAAAAGATGGATTTTAGCTGAATGTAATAAGCGCTTAACAATGAGGTTATGGTTTGCAGAAAATGGAATAAATGTAATCCCTGAACCTGGGGATTCAGAAAAGAAAAATAAGCCTGTTCTGTAACGGCGGGGACCATTTCTTAGTCACCCTTATTCATGCCCAGGGCCTGGAGTATCGGAGGCACTAACACTTGTGGTCGAAGGAGTGAACTCACACAGGTATGTATATATGGCTAGGAAACCCAACTTCAGGAAGCAAAATGCCTACAACAGCAGTTACCTTTACTCAACTCCTAGGAGTGGCAATCACCTCCACCCTGCTGGAATCACGGTTACAAGTGGCTCTTTCTGCCAATGCCTCCTGGATGCACGCACTCCTGTCTCCTTCTTACTCCCCCTCCCTAGCTCCTTCTCCCCACCTCAGTGCACCATTTTTCTGAGCTTTCTGGTTGGCATTGACATGGATTTCACACCCTGCTTTGTTTTCCAGTGCCCCTAGCTCTCCATTCACTATTGTATTTGGTGTGGATGTCTCTGCAGAAGGAACCACTCTGAGGAGTCAGGGCTGGAAGAGACCCTGGGAGTGCTTCTGTCCCCCACTCGGGAGCCTCACCCTACATACTTCTCGGTGTATCTCTGAAATGTGGCAAGAGCAGGCTGGAGTTTCTCTGCCCTTCCCGAGGCATCTGAAGGCAGGAGTGCAGGTACATCCAGGAGAAGGATGCAAAAGACATGGATTTAAACTTGGGGTGCTTAGGTTGGGATCTAGCTGGAAATCCGATGCCACAGTTTTCATTGTGCTGCTGATCCGAGGGCCACTGCTTCTTCCCATGGGACTCAGCTCTGAAAGACCTGAGAGTGGAATTTCACTAACTCTGAGAGGCAGGTAGAGCACAGAGCCAAAGATCAGCCTCCCTCCCCTCCTTCCACGTAATTCAGTCCTATTCCATATTTCTTCCCATCACCTTCCTCCTGTCCTTGCTTCAAAGTGACAGGCCTGCTGTGCCTTCATCCCCCTCTTCTCTCCTGACAGGGGAGACCCCAGGGAGGAAGCAGATGCACCCACTCCCAAAACTGGTTCAGATCCCGCCTACCTCCCTTCCTAACTGTGTAGCCATGGATAGATAAGTGGCTCAATCTCTCTGAAACCTATAAAAGGAAGGTAACTTACCATTTACCTCATAGGGGTTACAGTGAGGACTAAGTTAAATATGACAGCTCATATAAAAGCACGTAGCAGTGTGACTGACATATTAGGTGCTCAATAAGCACTATTTCCCTTCTCCTGTTACCAGATATACCATGGTTCTTACAGGTACCAAACTGTCCAGAGGCTACAGAGGGAAAGAGAGCGCTCAAGGATCCTTCCTGGACCTCCCATTTAGGATCTCTCCCTTGTTACAAATAGGGGATACAGTGGGAGACACAATAATTCCAATAAGTGATCCATATGACCAAATGACCCATAACGAATGTGGGAATCAGTAGGCTCTTTCATGGGGCTACTGTTCTCAAGAGGTAGTACTGCTTATTGGCCCAACTCAGGAGTTCCTGAAAAGAAACTTCTTCCTTGTTTTCACATCACCTCTGACATGACAGGAGACAGGACCCACTTGCCTCAGACCTTCTCTCTGTCTTTCCATCAATAAATGCAACACCTACAAATGGAATAGAAGAACTCTATTCGGAAATAAGTCACCATGGCTGAATATATTATTTTCAATGTGGGTTTCAATTAGGAATTAATAAGCGTTATGAAAACACTACTTCCTCTCATCACAATGAAAGCCTTATTGAGCACTAAGCATCTTACCTTGACTTTTTCACCATTAATCTCCACCGTCTTAATCATAAAATCAACTCCAATCGTGGCTCCTTGTCCTGGGGGGAAAAGACCCTAAAGATGACATAAAGGAAAATAATTAAGCAAATCTTTCAGTTAAATGAAATTCTCTCCCCTCTCCCCGCTCACCACACACCACCAGCCCCTTCCTTGGCTGAGTTGAGATTTAGAGTCATGGAGCCGTGTTGAATTTAATTTTGTATGTATGCTTTGAGGGGAGGAGGAAGGAGGGAGAAAGTAGGAGCGAGGAATGCTAAGAGAAGAAAGAGTGAAAGGGGGACGTGAAAGGGGGAGGAAGACAGAGAGGGTGAAAGGAAGAGAACTGGGAAAGGGCAGGGACGGATTTCAAAGACTGAAACAGAACTCAGACACAAGGATAAGACTAAGGAGCATGAAGCCGCAGGGATGAAATCAGGATTGTTAGAAGAGGAGCAAAACGGATAGGTGCTCCCAGAGAGGTACAATCCAGGAAGATTAAAACTGGTTATCAGTCTAGGGCATGGACAGCCATGGGAGTGGACCACCGACATGAACAAACAAACAAGAACACGCTACAGGAAACATGAGCGAGGCAGTGAAGCTTTTGAATTTCCCTCTGCTCTGAGGGTGAGAACTATTTCCCTTAATGCAATGTACCACATATATGTAATTACATGAAATCGGGGCCCTTGACCCTGGGAAGATCATGGAAAAAAATAAAATCATTCGGGAGAAAGTCAAGTAGGAACAGCACTAAATCAGGAGGCTGGAGGATCTCTATGTGGCCTCAGGCAAATCAGTCCCCCTCTCTGGGCCTCGAATTCAATGAGCATTTCAAAAGAAAACAAAATAAAACAAAGCTGTACCTCAAACTGGATGCTGAGCTAGAAAGATAGGATTTTAGCAAGATTACATGTACAATGTAGGTTACTGGTATATAATATTTCCTGGAGGCTTAGGGAGGGACCTGGAGGTAGGAAGGAATTCTAATAAGGAAGAGTTCTTCACCTAGTTTCTATTCCCTTTTCACTGATATTCCAGAATTGCCAGAAATTAAAGTAAAATGGACTCTATTAGCTCTGGCAGCTAAGATTGGGGCATCTTTAACTAAGTCTGTTCCCTAACAAGCGAGTTCTTTAATTAAAGTTTGTACTTAAAAGACTGAGCTTCAAACCCACAGAAAATATTCCACTGCATGTCCGCAAAAGATGTAAATATAAACATTCATAACTGTACGTAAAAATATTGAATCAATTTTCCTCTATTTTGGTTTGGCTCAAACACAAGGCTGCCAAGTTTCGAGTTTATCACTCCAGCTGTTTTGCAGTCTAATAAATGCCAAAAAAATAAAACAAATCCTTCCCAATGTCTCCCTCATCATTTTGTTCCCCAACTCCTCATGCCTCAAAAACAGCTGAATCCAATTCATTTTAACTGCCTGCTAAACAACAAAACCAAGCATAATACTGTCTAGGGAATGTGACTCTTGGGGGGAGTTAAGGGGCTGGGGGGGGGGTAAAAAGTAGAAAAGAGAGGGGTGGTGTGCTTATTGGTAGAAATTAGTCTTCAAAATGGAAGCATTTTTACCTTTAATGACAAAGTTGTTTTTTTTTTTTTAAAGAGAAAAGCCAGATTCCTATGGTCTCAGAGGTTAGGCCACCAAAAATAAAAATGATCAGGCTAAAAACCAGGAGACGTGGGTTCTAATCCTAGCCTTGCCACTAACAGGATGTACGATGCTAAGAAGTCATTTAGTCCCTGTAGACCTCAATTTTGCATCTGTATAACGGGAGGAGTAGACTGAATAATCTCTAAGGGATCTTTCCTTAGATAATAAGACAAGGTCAAGGGAACTTTTGATAAAGAGACTAAAAACTCCTCCACGTCTCTGCAGGCTTGTCTTCCTGCCAAAAGCAGAAAAGATTACTGCTAGGTGGAAGTAAAGCCAGCTGGAGTTTCCAGTATCACGGCACGGCGGCTGACTAAGCGAGGATGCCTGGTAGCATCTTACTTTTGATTTCACCAGGCCCAGGCTTAGTAAAAAGCACGAGTTCCCTTCTGGGTTCGTTAACCGTGGGAAAAACCTGGCATTTCCAAAGGTGACTCTCTGCCCTAAAGCGGTCTGTGTTATCCTGTCCAGTTTTGCACAGAACCACAGACTGTCAGCGTTGGAGGTAGCTTTGCAGGTCACCAAGCCTCTCCTGTGTGGCAGGGAGACAGGGAGGCCACACAGCGGAGGGAACGGAACCCAGGTTCACAGGATGAGCCAGGGCAGAGCTGGGACCAGGACCCTAGTCTCCACACTCCAGCTGGTGCTCTTTCCACAGCACCCGGCCGTCTTATGCCTTAGCGGGGCTAGTCTCAGCGTTCCCAACTAGCACTTTATGAAAATGCAAGATGTATGCACGATAATCCTGAAAAGGATGCCATTCATATTTTTCCAGGGAAAACACAAAAGAAGGTCAACTTCAGAATGATTTCTCACTCATTTCTGTATAAAAACAGGCATATAATCTCTGGCAGTAATTCTCGAAAGGGCAGCCCCAAAGGGGACTTGTACTTCGATCATACGATAAGGACTCAGTCCAGAGGGAACATTTAATTTCGTTCAGATAGTCCTTCACTGTTCTCGTTTCATTCCCATTTAAGAGACTTAAAAACATGAGCATATTTGGTTCTAAACCAGAATGACTCACTCAGTTGCCTAGGAGGATGTGAGAGGGCATAGGAAGGGAGTTTGATTGGTTTAATTTGTATTTGAGGGTTTTTTTTAATTAATATTTAGGTTTAGTCTGAAGTACAGATTCATTTGTTAACACCTTTAGATTATTGATTGATAATCTATTTTAATCTAATAATCTGATTTTGATAGTATACACTGAAAGCAAACCATTTGCTCCTTTCATAAAGGAAGCACACAAGATGGCGGAGGCTTGGTGGTGACCCCAGAGCCAGACTCCCTGGAGATGGCTCAAAAAACTCTAGCCCAGGCTATAAAGTCAGCGCACTCTCAAAGGGCACATTAAGAACCAGCAGCTGAGAGGCCAGCACTGGGCCCAGTCCTCCATTCTCTTATGCCCACCTGACCCCACAGGTTAGACTCAGAAACCCAACCCCGGACTTCCAAGTTCTCTTACCTGAGTGAATCGTCGGACTAGGCACGTCTTTCCCACACCAGCATTGCCAATTAAAACAATTTTAAACAGGAAATCATAATCTTCCATACTCATTTACACAGCTGCAAGGCAAACACAGGCAAGAATGAGATGGGACCTGGTCAGACTTGCCCACAGCGCTCAAGCTGCACCAGCCTTGTCTCCTCAGGAACAACAGATCTGACTCATGTGAAGAGCAATTTAATGCTTCCCTCTGGTGATCTCGACACTGAGAGAGGAACACAGGTGTTTGGTCACAGACGAACTTTACTCCTTCCCAGTCACCTCATGCCACACAGAGTATATGACACAAATGTCCTTTCACCTGGTAACCTTTATTCTTCCAAGTCGTCAGGTCACTCCTGTGGTTAAGATCTGTTTTCTTTCAGCATGGAAAGGAGATTACAAGCCTATGTGCAGATAAGCTGGGGGTTCAAGGAAGCAGAAACAAAGGAGGAGCCCATCCAAAGCTTCAAAGCCGTTTATCTGCATACAGTGTATGCCAAGGGACCAGGAGACTGAACAAAGGGGAAGGAACTAGGAAGAAACCTTTCAGTCCCCTGCAAGTCCTGGGCGTCTTGGGGTCTTAACGGTGGGAGTAATGGCCATCTTCCCCTTACCACCAGCCCGTGGCTATACACCTTCTGCCAGCCAGGCTGACCCTGCAGCACCTTCCCAAGTGCCTGTCTGCTCATTCCTATGGGCTGTGGCATGTGTCACATCCTCTGCCCAGGAGGCCCTCCCTCCCACCCCTTCTGTGCCACCAAGTCAATCCTGTAAGGCCCAATGCAAGCAACTCTTTCTCTCTGACTTTTTCACTGCTCTTCCCCAAATAAAGTGAAACACTTTCATCATTCCTCTGTCCTAAAACTTTAAAGGCCTGCCTCATCCTTGAGGAAAGGGATTATATTTTTCGGCTCTATTTTCCCAGCCCACGCATGGGACAGTTATATTTAGCAAATGTGTACTCTGTAGAATTAAAGAGTTAATTAATAGGCCTATTGCTGAAGCTTAGGCCTTAGTTTCTCCAATTGTGCTAAAAAGAATACCACATGCTCTGTCTACCTCAGAGAACAGTTGTAAAGACTTTAAAAACTGTACAAAAGAGCCTTGGCATCCACAAAGCTCCATCCTGGTGAAAACCATTATTATCTCTTGAGTACCTACTATAGTACTGTGCTAATCGTTGTAGGAAATATGGAGATGAGCCAGTCTCTGCCCTGGAGACTAATGTGAGAAAAGCTAAAAACCACCACAAAGTTAAATACAATTCAAACCAGCAGTGGAGCTCATTTCATAAGGTGCAGGCAGAACAAGCCCGTGGACTCTGGAAGAAGAGGAGAAGGACAACCAGCGAGCCCAGAAGGGAAAGGGTGCTTGGGAGAGCTGGAAGAAGCCCCCAGGGTCACTCCTACCAGCAGAGCTGAAGCTCAAGTGTCTGCAGGGTCACAGAATCGAAAGAGAGCCCAGTGCACGGAAACCAGTCACGTAGCTAGGGGAGCAGATCCCTATGTGCACAGATGATTTCTGTGTGGGTTTTAACTTATCCTTGGAAAGATGACTGACAACCCAGCCAAAATGCCTGTGGCAGCTCATGGGGTTCTCTCTCAGTTCGCTGTGATTGTGAAGGAAAACCGTTCTCGGTCAAGAATCTGGGGCCATAAGCAGTGTTGAGTTCACTAATATGCCAGGCACTATACTTGACACCTTAGGGATATTTCCATTTGTTTTTATAAGTCTCTGAGGCTGGTATTTATTACTATGTTGCCTAGTTTACAGGTAAGTAAACTGAGGGGAGCCTGAAGTCATAAAGCTAATAGCCAGGTGTCACCGAAAGAACTCTAGCCTTGGAGTTGGAGAACCCTAGATTCAAATCCTGGCGCTACTATCTTCTAAGTCTATGCCTCTGGGTAAGTGAAAATTTGGGGGGGGTCTCAACTTCCCCATCAACAAAATGGGGCTAATAACACCTTTATCACAGAGTTGTGATGCTTGAAGGGATTTCTGTCCCCCAAGGACAGTACCTGGTTCTTAGTCACCCAAACTCCTCAATATGACAGCGGTTTTCATGGTCTGGCTTCCGCCTTCACTGCCAGCACCTACCTCTCACCACTCTGCTCACACTCCATGCTCTAGGCTCACTGGATTTCTTTAGTTCCTTAAATGCCATAGGGCGGCTTTCCCCTTCAGACTTTCACAAATACTGTTCCTTCTGCCCAGAACACAGCACACAACCTCCCCTCACCACCTCCAGCCCAGCTAACTTTGAGTTCTCCTTTCAATTTCACTTAAACATCACTCTCTAGTATGCTTCTTTGACCTGGGAGGAGGCCAACCCCCTGCTATAAGCTCACATGATACCCTTCCCCATCGTACAGTCATACTCAGCATGCTTTACTGTACTTATTTATTGACATTTGTCTTATGCTCCAAGTCCATCCCTCAGCACCTCCATCCTACACACACGTTCACACACACACACACATGCACACGCACACATGTGCATGACTGGGAGCAGCATGGAAGCAATGATGTGTCTATCCAGTTGAGTCCCCATCCTAACCCCTCCCCATTATAGTCACTGTCATCCTTGCCACTATCATCATCATCATCATCTCATTCTATATTATTAACTCATTTAATCCTCACAACACTCCTAACAGGTGGACACCATTAGCATCCTAACTTGATATATAGGGATACTGAGGCACAGGAGAAGTTAAATAAGGAGTCGTTAAGGTCCCACTTAGCTGGTGGAGCTGACATGCAAACGCACATCGCCTAGGTCCAGCCCCGGTGGACGTCCTTGACACACTACCTGTGGTGCCTTTCCCAATGCCTGGCCTGTGGCAGGAGCTTAAGAAAAATCTGGTGAATTGAACGATAAAGGGCAAGCACTCAATAAAATGTGATTTCCTTTTTCTCTTCTCCTCTGGCTTCACATCCAAAACTCTTTCCACCACACTGTAGTAGTTTAAATAAGAATCAAGGGCAGACTCCGGATGAAAACTCAGGGACGTGGTATGTTAATTAAAATTCAAGAAAGCTGGGGCGCCTGGGTGGCTCAGTTGGTTAAGCGACTGCCTTCAGTTCAGGTCATGATCCTGGAGTCCCTGGATCAAGTCCCGCATTGGGCTCCCTGCTCAGCAGGGAGTCTGCTTCTCCCTCTGACCCTCCCCCCTCTCATGTGCTCTCTCTCATTCTCTCTCTCTCAAATAAATAAAATAAAAAAAAAATCTTTAAAAAAAAAATAAAATAAAAAATAAAAAAAATAAAATTCAAGAAAGCTGTTAAAAGTGAAAAGAAAAGAAAACTCAGGGAAAGGGACAAGGATAAGCAGGAGGACGTGAGGCTCTGTGGGCCCCACATGGACCACAACTCACAGCTGTCATTAGCCGGTGAACACGGGAAGCATAGGCCTGGACAGCATCCTTCTGTGCTTAGGTTGTTTGCCACACATTTACTCCTCCATCTTTGGCAGAAGTCAAAGACATAAAGCAGAGCATTCAGAGGAGAATGTCCAAAAAGAAAGGCCTGAGAAACAGGGCTCCTAAGCAGTTTACAGTGCCCGAATTCTGCACCTTCAGGAAAAGGGGAAGAGTTACTTGGTCCGAGTCTGTGCTCACAGTCACGTCTCATGTGGTTACTACCCGGAGAGAGACAGCCACAGAAGACAAGTTAAGGCCCTCCTCATTTCTCTAAGAAATTACTTTATAATGCTCTGTTGAATGTTTTGGGCTTTTTTGTTTGTTTCGTGTGTGTGTGTGTGTGTGTGTGTGTGTGTGTGTGTGTGTGTTTAATAAACCTCTGGGGGAAATGTTTGGTCTCTTTAAAAATGCAGACCGTCTGTGACTAAGGCTGGACTGTAAACTCTGGGTTACCTGCGGTGGTTACTGTTCTGTTTCTAATAGGAATCACATGGCTCAGTGAAAAGCTCACAAGATGCTCTGAAAACTATGCTCTGAGGAAGCCCTTCTGATCGGGAAGTAAGGTAACAGCTCAGGCATCACCAATAACCATGGGATAAGACAGCATCCCAGGAGGGGGAAACCATTCAGAATCAGCTAGTGACATGCTAAATTGACAACAAAGGTCACACTTTGTCTGGGGAGCAAACATGTCATAAGATATGCTACTGACCAGGCACTATTCTAGGGATTTTATATTCTATCATTGTTAATAGTAGTAATCAACTGACACTTATTCCGTGCTTATAATGTGCCAGGCACTCTTCTGCATACACTCATTTAATTCTCACAACAACCCTATGGGGTGGGTATTATTACCATCATTATCCCCAGCTTACAGAAGAGGAAACTGAGGCACAGAGAGGTTATCCTGAAGTCACACAGCTAGTCAGTCTTAGGACCAGGATTCAAACCCAGATCCGTCTGACTCCAAAGCCTGGCTCCTCCTAAAATAGGCTGCTACTGTCCCCTGCCCGATGGTAGTCAGCGCTGTCTTAAGAGCTGGAGGCACAGATGAATGGAACCCCCAGCCCCTGTGAGCTGCGATGTTCTAGAATCTCCCTCCTCATGAAGCAGTATACCTGCACTGATAGGGCCACACGCTGATTCCAGATCATACAAGCACTGCTCCTCATTGTGCCCTCCAAGCCCAGGTCTCTTTTAGGAGCTGGACGCTGACTTGCCCCCGATACCACTCCCACAATTCATTCATCCATGTAACTAAGTACTGGGCACAAGGGCAATAAACAGGAAGACTACTCAGATGAACCCGCAAAACCCCAAATATCAGAATTACCACAATAGCTCAAAATAAATGGACATATGAATAAGATTCAAAAAAGGAAAAATAGATAAAAGAAAAGAATGAGTTTGGGGGGCGCCTGGGTGGCTCAGTTGGCTAAGCGTCCGACTCTTGGTTTTGGCTCAGGTCATGATCTCAAGGTCTGGAGATGAAGCCCTGCGTTGGGCTCGGCACTGAGCATGGAGCCTGCTTGGGATTCTCTCTCTCCCTCAACCCCTCCCTCCCCTAAAAAAAAAAAAAGAAAAAGAAAAAAATGAGTTTAGAAAAGATATAGGAAACACGACATACTATGAAAAGAAAAAAAAAATTCTAAAACAATGTGATTTTCGCAACATGAACTATTTATCAAAGTGACCTTTTAAAAAAAATGACACTGTATTCACTGTTGCACATCAGTACACTTTTCCCCTCACCCTTCAGGGCTCAGTATAACAGATAAAGTCAAGGATTCTGGCGAATAGAGGCCTGATCC